CACTGCATAACAAATATACGGGACTGAATAACAAAAACATGGAATCACATAACATCACATAAGACAGGTACAGCCTTCCATAGTCATATAATTCAAAGCATCGTTCAGAATGTATTAATTAGCTTCAACTAATTGTCCAGCAATTAACACAGTTAATACTCGTTTTACTCAAACTTCACCATTAAAACAACCTTCCCGGTCACTCTTGTGCCAGTGATAAGTGCATGGGCGAGTGGTCGGTGTTTTTCAAAGAGCGAGCGAGCGGAAAAAACACACGATGAAATGCGGTCATTTTCCAGTTGCAAAATATCATGTGACTGATAATTGAGCGATGAACGGTTAATTATAAAGCAATAAAATGGACAAAAAAAGTCCTGTATTCGGTTCGGTAGTTTGTTTGTAGATAAACTGTTGACAAGTGCATTTTTACCTTGCCCTTGCAAAGATGGAAGGGAATGGTATATTAAGGGAAACAAATTGTCCGGCGTTGTCGTTGTCATCGTTGTTGTCGTTAATAATTGTTATTGTGTGCACAATAACTTTACTAATTTTATTCAAAACTTCATCAAACTTGGTCATCTTATTCATCAGTATAAAGTCTTCCCTGACTTTGAAGAACATATCTCTTGTATGAAATTATCATGCAAAAATTGAGAAAATCTGATAAAATATTTTGACTGTTTCTACTTGACTGATCACTGGTGATACGCATGAAAGGTGACTGATCTCAGGGGAAATATGCATTGTTGTATGTGTTCAATGAAGCAAATCATTTATCTTGTAATAATATCATTGGTAATGTATCTCCCAAATTCCATGGGAATACTATACTGGGTTTCAAAACCAACTCATGGAGAGATTGTTTGGACAATCTGATACACATTTGCAAACCTACCAATAAAATCTTTACAGAAAACAAGATGTCAAAAAATCAATATAAGCACTCCTATAAACTGGGTGCCAAACTTTGATCAAGTTCTGAAGCTAATAGAACATCTGTTTACGGTTTGTTTAGTTCAAAGTTATCAAATCAAAAACAATACGAAAAAAATACATAAAAAGCAAAACGTTGCATCCACATTTTGAAAAGAAAATTGTACTAAAATATATGTATTCTGTATTTGACAAACAGATCATTCGACAAATGAAAATTCACAGGAATTTGTTTCAGCTATTAGAACAGAGTGATAGAGTTTTTATAATACTAATTTAAAAACGCACTTCAAAAACAAAGATTGCAGTGTTTGAAGATGTAGATTCTTAGGAGGCAACAGTACTGTTGACTTCTGTCTCCACTGGACACTAACTAACTATTTAAGTTGATTTGCATACAAAGCAGAGCTTGCAGCATGATAGCTATTCATAGAGGGTGTTTTTTTACTTTTCATATAATACAGTAGTCACACAATAAGGCAGTTCATATTTGTCTCAGTGAATCATTAATTTTTGACATACACCTGTACAAAATACTTGGACAAAAGCCAGCTAAGATTTTTTGTTATCTTGCATGTTTTATGAATCTATTCACATCTAAATGCAACACTTTTTTCTGCGATGAAGCACTTGTTTTTATACTAAAATATCTGAATTACTTTGATTAAAGCTGAAAATTATGTCCCTTAAAATAATTAAATAAATTGGGCACCAATGTTTTTGTAAGATATTTACATCAATCAAGGATATTCGGTAGACTGATTCCTCACTGTTGGTTTAACCCCAAAACTTGTTTGTATTCAAAATTAATTATGACATTGCATATTTATATTGAAACAAACTATGATAAAGGAAATAATATTATATAACAAAAAGCAAGGTCACCAGAGTTCAACTATGTTTTCTATTGTGGGGGACGAGGGGGTGGGTGGAGGTGTAATGCATATATTCAAGCAAATAAATGCACGTGTATGTGATAATGCCAAGTAACTCGGTAATTCCAATAATTTATCTCCAAAATCTATACATAATAGAAAAAAAACAGTATGCAGAATTGTTTACTAATTTAATAACACATTAAAAAAACATGCATGTACAATATTTAAAACATACCATTATAATTACAATTGGTTACGAACTACTGATATTTTAATTCTATCGCACGTGTATATTAAATTATGATACACTCAACTCTACAAAACATGAAGACGACCCCTCCCCTGGAAAACCCGAATCAAACATCAACCCAAACAAATTATTATATTCAAAATATTATAAACATGTAAAATAAAAATACGCATTTTTTGTTATATTTTTCCATAATTAATTAAACTTCAAGTTATTCATCTGAGATTTCTACCAAAGTGTCATCATATATTTTACAAAAAAATACAAATTTAATATGGAGAAACACTTTTCCACTCACAGTCATGCTGTTTAGATAAATATATAATATTTTCGGAACAAAGAATAAATGTGATATAAAGCTTATTCAACCAAGGGAACCCATGGAATAGTAGTTGACTATCATATAAGCGATACTATCTTTTGTTACACTTTACTTATCGTATAGATGCTACCTCCCATTACCGTCTAGACTTCATTAATACTACACATGTACCAATTTTATTAATCGTTCCTATGCTGGAGAGTATGTTGTATATAACAAAAGTATTTGGTTTCCAAAAAATATACTATTGCAGAGGCAGTGGCACGAAATTTGGCACGAGGGGGTGAAATCTAGACCCTATTTCCTGCATTTTAAGTGGCAAATGTTGCTGACACATAGGGTGTCCGCTTGGTTTTTTGGTGGGGTGGGGGGACGCTTCTGCTCACACTTTTTTCAGGTGAGCGACTGGTGGTGCCACTGTATTAATATACATGGGATAGAACTCATTCAAACACGAATAAGCCAAGGTAGAAGTTATATAGCTTAAACTGTGTCTTTGCTACCAGAGCCATCGCCAGCATCACCAATAAAAGATCGAATCAGACTGTGAAGTTCGTGTAACCTAGCAACAAATACAACGAGAATATTACCAGACTCAATGGTTTTATTTATTAATTTACTAGAAGAGAGATACTAGTATTACCACGTAACAGATTATAAAATGTATGCGACATTACTAATGGTTATGACATTAATTAATCACACTAATATGTATACAACCATTTGAATTGGCCAAAAGACGTTCCAGAATGTCCATGCCGTAACCTGGATGTTATAACAGATGAAAAAACCGACAATTCCGTGACCATGATTTAGCAAGTACAAGACCTTCCATAATCGGATATATTAATTGAATACTAATGGTCTTTCCTGGAGTAATTATATATGGCAATACTATTTCTTTACTCCAATGAATTCAATGAACCATAATTCTATACTCACTGCTCCTCCATGTGTTCGAGTTTTTCTTTCATATATTGCGTGTCTTCACTTGTAACAGCATCACTATCTCCACCGGATTCTTTCTTGTCTTCCTCCTCTCCGCCCAAGACCTGAAATGAAATACAAGTTGTAAATCCCTTTGTCATCTAGGTAATAATATTATTTTATTATTTTATTTTATATGATAATGTTTTCTTCATCTTCAAAATTATTTTAAGAAAGCACATTGGATAATATGATGTGTTAGAATTAGCATTGTGTTTACATCTATGTTCTCTAGTATTATAATGCATATAGAAAGTGTCCTTAGTTTGGGTGGTTTTATGTACCATTAATGATTTATAAAATGAGGGCATGAAAACAATTTCATGAGAAACCATGCAGTTTCCGCTTGGAAAAAGAAAACGTTTCATTGTGTAAAGAGAAGTGAAATAGAATAACCGTGGCGCCATATGTAAACACAAAACGCCTGCCGGACACTCACAAAACGGTTATTTCTTTGATGGTAATGTCAGTTTGAATTGCAATTTTGTGAAAATTCGCGTGAATTCGCAAAAGAATTAATTAATCACTGGAATTTAATTGCCTTATTTTGATAATTGACTATATTCTTTGGGTTTAACTCATGGATTGCTCTATAAGACAGCGATATTTCTATTGTGGTTTTGGACAACAATTAAATTCATTGAAAATCTTGATAGTACATCACCGCATATGCCTTATATTATCTTATAAAGCATGATGTTATATGTTTAGAATTTTAAGATGTTTCAATTTAACGTGTAATGCATTATTCATTACATAAGTCGACTAAGCTAAATATGTAGCTAGATTTGTATTGGTTTATTTTGCTTACATTCTCAACCACAGATTGCATCAACTTTAGAATATTTTTCTTTTCCTTGTTAACCTCCACGTACTTATCAGGAAATACATTTGTCGTATCTTTTCTTGTTATACACAGCACCAATTTGGTTAGCACGTGACGCTCTAATCCCAGAAATAACTGCATCTGTAAATAAGAAGAGAATGTCTAAGTCATTCCGCAACTTTTGACGAAATGAATAATTACATATGCGATAATATAATAATACTATTCACTGTTTTCTCTGCATTTGTTTAATTCATGATGTATTTACCTGAACAAGTAGTCTTTCTTTAGCAGCGCTGTCCATCACTTCTTGCATATCACCAACTGCCAAGGCAACCTAAGGTGATGTAGAAACAAATATACAAGTGTACCTCCACACAATCAATATTCATATGTTTTCGAGATAGTTTTGCAATCGTTAAAGACATACCACTTACGATTTGTATTTGTATTAAAAAAGTTGACTTACCAGTAAGTTCATAACTACTATAGCTACAATACAGAATGCAATGAATAAAAACACCAAGGCGCCCTGAATGCCAGCAGCGGAACCTAGAATACGAGATTCATAGTCCATCTCACCAAGCATCATGACCCATGACGTCAGCACTGCCTGGACAAGGTGCTTGAATGGCAGCTATAATAGAAGATAAGATCCAAGCTCAGCGATGTACGGAGATTGGACTGAAAGCACTCGTTTGACATAAATTGGACTTACATTATAGCGCGGTGGTCGTCGCGCAGCGCGTGTTCGAATTTCATGTAAATAAACAATGTATTTTACACGCGTTGTATACATCGACATGAGTCCCATATCGAACAGGACGCGGCACGACGACTGCCGCCCTTTAATATATACAAGAATGAGAAAACGGTACACACTTCACGCACAATTCAGTCCGGGTTGGAAGGAAAGAATGAAAAAAACGAGTAAATTATATGGTAAGCTTACCTGGGCAGAAAGCATTGTATAAAATGCGAATCCGAATGCAAATAATGGCAGCATGAATATTGGACACACTTTTACTATAGTCCACACGTGATTTTTAATGAGAATAACGTATATACCAAATACAGGCAGACTGCAACATAAATGAAGGCAATTAGTTTGTATCTGTCAATAATTAATATTCTTGTGACGGTTGTTTGAATATTGACACATATCAACATAGACAACAATAATAGCTATACATCTACCAACATAGACAACCACAAAAAAACAACATCTATCAATAAACACATGCAGCGAAGATACCAATACATTTATCGATACAGACAGCCAAAAAAAAACCAAAAACATAACCTAACAGCAGGGACAAGTAGCAAACATATTCATACACATATGAAGGACATAACAAATACGCACACGTCTTTGTACGATGGACAGCTAACATGCCCGTACTTCTGTCAACATAGAAGTCAGGATATCAATTAGGATACCTTATCATGCCAATACTAATAACATCCAATATTCCCATACATACGTGAATACAGATAGTGATGTAACTTTCTTCTTCTGTAAACATAGATAATATCATAGTCTTTAAAAGAAATAACCCTTACCTCTGTAAGCATAGAATCAGACAAATCCACGAAAAGAAGATCGCAATAGCACCAGCATTGCGTTCAAAGTTTTCATCAATTGAGACATAAAAGTAAGGTATAACATACAGCAAAGTACCGATGCACTTAATCCAGTCCATAATAGTTACAAATCCTAAGTAACTTCTTGGCTGAAATAATAAAATATGCAATTACTATATACTTGTAAAACATTATTAGAGAGAAAGAAAATGGAGATGAAAGTAGACGGTGACAGGAGCAGAGAGTATAGATTGGGGTATTTTAACAAGGTATGAGTAGAAAGAATAACGGAGAATGTAGAATACATACAGAATGGGTAGAGAAGAAGTTAGTGTAAGTGGTTTTCGATAATGGTGGAGATAGTGGAAGAAACAGCAAAGACGGGAAAAATAATGAGAGAGATAAGGTGAAAACAAATATTATGTAGGAAAAAGGCTGAAGAATGATAGGCGAGGATGGAGAAAACAGATATATTGGAGAGGGCCAAAAAAGAACAGAAGGTGATAAAAAAATCAAAAACCAAATATAGTGGATGGAAAAAGGCGATAGGGTGGGTGGAAAAATAATATATAATATAATAATATATAAGGAAAGGTAGAGAAGAAAGAAAATGTACAAGGCGGAAAAGAGATAAGGAATGATCAAATAGGAACACATTTAGGAGAGACAGAGAAGAGAAGAAACTGTAACTTACATCGATGTATAATTTACTGAGTAAAATTAAGACTTCAATACAGGCTGCCAACAAAACTACTAATGCTAAAGATGACTGTACTCCAAAGTGACCTTTGTCTGTGTCCTGTGTAGGAAGTGATAAGGATGCATGTTTACATGTGACCCTTCAGTGTTCGTCGATGAGACAGAAGGTGGGGGGGGGGACAAACTATTTAAACACTATTTTTATTTATACGATTTATCGTACACTAATTTATATATTAGTCACTCATGTCAGAGTACAGTAGGCATACATTGCATACATTGCAAAACTCGGAACCAATTAGCATTGATTATCATTACAAAATATGGATGCAAATACACAGTTAATGTAAAGATATGTTCACTTACATCCTTTTTAGTATCAACCAGTGTACCATTAATATTTCGCCTGAGGGGTCCATCTATCCAGACCAATGCACACAGAGATCCCAAATACAGCATATAAAATACTAACATCATTATGTACATCAGAAAACCAAATTTATCCCTGTTAGTCACAAAAATTAGTTATTCAATCAGATATGCGTGTCCTACAACAACGCCCTCTAGATATGTATTGTAAAATGTTCACATGTTTGCACGATTTAAGTATATGAATTTGACTTTAGATAATGACTTACCATCCTACTTCAAGAAACTTTACAACAATTTCATGATCAATACAATTTCCACAATTCATCATAGCCTACAGAAATATTTGTGTATTGAATAAATATTCCGTTTTTACAAAAAATAATTTTGATATAATGTAATACATATGACTTGGGTCACGTGATTCACAATTAGCATACGTACAATTACGTACGTGCAATGCACTAGGTCCATAATTGTAAATTACACACGCCATACCTGAAGTGGACTTGATTCATGGTGACTTTTGTCGTCGTCTTTCTTGTAATAACTAAAATCATACGTGAAACCCTGTCAACAAAACATGCGAGTATACATTGTATGACATGGTTGGTAGGTGAATGAAGACAGTGTCATGACAATGTGGTCGCGATGTAGTGACGTCATTAATGGAGATTACAGCGTGAGACATTACTGCACTGACTAAAGTTATACACGAAGTTTGCGTGAAATTGAACACGATAATGAAACAAAGCATGATCTATTATACACAGATGCTAAAAATACGTATATTTACATAGAACAATATCAAGTGTTAATAAAACGAAGGCAAAGTAAGGTAATGATATATACAACTTACGTGTTTGCCACTGTCATCTGTTGTTGGTTGCTTGAAGTTATCCATGAATTTCTGTAATTAACACATATATTGTTGTTATAGAGAGTGCTACTCCGTGACCTGTGTAGATCTACAGTTAAGTAATTTAAAATAAATATATGAGCGAGGTGATGTGAGTGGGAAAGTGCGTGTGTATATGCGAAATATACAACCCTCACATGAGAAGACACTTACACTCGCCACGTCAGGCATTTCATTTACCAATGTACGTAACTGTCCTCGATGATTTTTGCGAAGACATTGCCGCCACCTGAAAACATAGATAGTAGTATTCAATTGTATGATATTTACAAATATTGTACATTGATAGATCAGTTTATATTTATCAATGTGAATTAAGTGAGGAAAAACTAGTTTGCTTGACTTGAAAAGAATAATAATATGTAACTAACTTGTCATGTTTTGCTATTTCCATACACACGTCATCTTCGCCAGTTTTTATCGCTAGATCTAAACAATTGGCACCTTTGTTGTTTTCAAGAATTGGCGTATTAGCGTCGAGGAGATAAGCTACTAGAGCTACGTGACCTTTCCACGCCGCATGATGAACTGGCGTATTCTGGAAAAATATATGAATATTTATCACATTATATTAGCTTTAATTGCGATATCGGGTTAACTATTCTACATTCGGAACGCTAGACGGATTTCTCAATTGTGTATGAGGTCTTTCTACTCCAACTCTATTTCTACTCTATTAACCATACAATGTTATAGACTTACGCCATCGTTATCCGGCCAGGCCAACCACTCGCTGTCTCGTTCTAGCAATAATTTCACGGTATTAACACAACCATTGTTACTCGCCAGGTGTATTGGGTAGTGTCCTTCATGTGTACTGAAATACAACACACACCAATTAAGTCAGTATGCCTCTACCCGGGTGAACCTTTTTTTGTCGATTATTGTCACATTTTTTACTGTAATTATAGACCAAATAATCATAATTTGTTGCTGCATGCAGATCGAAATTATTGAACAGAAATAGTCCACAGAGCTACATTCTATAAAGTATTTTTTGCTGACTGAAAATAAATGGTTCAGATAACAATGACATTAACCTTGTAATATAAGCACCCCTTTCTTGAAGTTCTTTTACAATTTCAACAAAATCCAAACTTGCAGCAATATGTAACGCAGTTTTTCCAGTCTTATCTTCAGAATTCAACAGTCTTGTTCGCGGATAGTCAGTACCTAGGCTCTTGTATCGCTCATCATCGTCCCCTGGTAAGGAGTTTAACAGCAAATTGACAATATCAAGACGTCGATTTCTAGAATAGAATAGAATAGAATAGAATAGAATAGAATAGAATAGAATAGAATAGAATAGAATAGAAGTATGATGGAATGAGTGGAGATGGTGCAATAGGATGATATGAGAAATATAGATAGATGATGTATAGTGGGTGAGAAGCTGTGTAATTCGATTGGGGAGAGGCAGTGTGTTAGAATATATAGGATATGATGAGATGGTGTGAAAGGTGGTATAGCATTACGACGCAAGAATGACGTCAAATGATGTTTCTATTGTAACGTACCTCACTGCAAAATGCAAAGGAGTTTTCCCTTTCTTATTTCTCACATTTGGCTTGGCTCCATGTTTGATTAATAACTCCACATTCTATTTTAAAAAAAAACAATGTAAAATCAGTATTTAAAAACACAAGTTGCCAAATATTAGAGACACCGGTTCTTCGAAACCATAGTTAACAGGTATCTGAGATCAGGGTTCAAGACAACCACTAAATATTCAACACCCTGGCAATAAAATATTCAAGACATGGCATCTGTACTGGTTAAAAGATACACGAGACTCTCAGACCACAAGTTTGAAATTAATAGAGATACTTGACAGGAAACACAACTTTCCAGAGAAAGAAAGCACAAGTGGTTGCATACACAAAAACGTTGTTTGAACTAATATATTTTGAGCAAATATTCATATACATCGTTTGGGTTGGTGATATAGAGATATGTTGCTATGGACACACTGATTTCACTGATGTTCGCGTAACTATATCCACGGAAGCACATAAGTGAATTATAATGTAAATAATCAATTAGGGCACATTTAATGCAAAGCATGTATTTCTACCAGTCTTCAAATACACGCTTATCGATTATTACTCAGTTATTAAGTACTCAAGATATGAGGATTTATACACTTTTAATGACACCTGATCCACATAATCAGAATCCTACATTCCCATAATGGAACAGTCAAAGAAGATTCTACAGATAATACGTATATCGAATTGTAAAAGACAGGTGACAACGCTGGAAGATTAGATAACTATACAAGTGAATTTAACACAATTGTGAAAATTGTTGAGAACTACTCACGTCAATGAACTTTCCTGCTGCATAATGCAAAGCAGTGTTACCATACTTGTCTTTTTTCTCCAGGAGTTTTTTTATCTCACCATACTGAAAGTCAACAAATATGAAACTGTTAGAATGTGTTAACAACATTATGTTGAATTAGCTCTGTTACACATAACATATCCATGTACCTATCACTTCACTAAATAATGTGCCTGTTTTTTATTTTATATATTCTATGTAGCACATATATCTTATTCACGGGTTGACCCACCACTGGCATGTCGATGATGAATTTACACTGACCTGTCATTACACGAATTGCTTCTCCGGGAATTACTCTAACACATTTATTTATTTATATATTATGCTGATTAAATTATGTAGTTTCACAGTGAACTAAAATAATGTTTTTCTGCCCATGATGTTAGTGAAACGTTCAAATACACATTACATTTTAATAACACGATATCGGATATAACATATTAGGTGATGACTACTGATGCATTGTGATGGTGTAGTGGTACAGATGAAAACTGAAATATATCATGCTATAAGTAATGCATTTACCCGTAAAAGCAATTCCAATGTTTTGAGATTTCCAACAGCTTTGTGTAAAATTGTCTGTCCCTGACAATCGATCGCTGACAGCAATGCCCCGTATCGAATAAGTAGTGATATTTTTTGTACGTTTCCTTGCGATGCGGCAAACATTAGTGCTGTTCTTTTTGTTAAATCCTTGTGATTCACGTTTACAAGAGTTCTGCCTTTGTAAACTTTATGCTTGGTTTTTGATGCTCTCTGTGCTGGTTTGTAAGCTGGAATAATGAGAGAATAATCGTATATTAGATTTCCACCAAAAGTATATAACGTTTAGATCAAATTAGATGAACCTGAATTCCGGAGCTAATAAGTTTTGAGAGGGAGAGATCAGTTACTGATACAGAGGGTGCAGACTCGCGCACATTGTAGTTCGTATCGATATTAAGAATAGTCTAGCACGGTTTCATTGCGAACACACATCATCTGATATAAGCTATATAGAAAAGTACACAAAACAGACTATGAACAAGCATTGTCGCCAAGCTGTCTTGGCCTAGCGATTACACGCGTGAGTTGAATGGAATCTGTTACATTTAGAAAAACACTTTTTACATCCATGAAACACATTTTAAGGGTGCTATATTATATACAGCAAACTTACCAATTAACATTCTCATTGTAGATATATCGGCTTTCTCTGTTGCCAGCAAGAATGGTGTGGTATTGGTATCGTTTTCTGCGTTAATGTCAGCGCCATTATCAAGCTATAGAAGTAGAAGAGTGAGGTACATTTTTTTACATATTGACATACAGGTACACTAATTTATGTACATGTATGTACAGAGTGAATTACATTCAACATTGTTCACTTAAATGATCTAATCATTCGATATCAAATGTTGACTTGCTTCCATTACAAGTAGTAGTTGTCATATCGCGGAATATATTTATCTGAAATAACAGTTCTTACCAACTCAATATTAACCACATTATTCTTTTTCAATATAGCTGCATGTAGCGGTCTGTAGCCATCGTTACCTCGTGTGTTAATCTCTGTGTCTTTTAGTGCTGCAATCATTAACTATTTCAAATAAAAAACAAACATGAAATCAACTCATTAAAATTATTTTTTCTGAATCTACTTCAATTCATTAATCTGTGCCTTTGAAGTCTACTGTCATGAATTTGTTTTTGCGTATCTGTTAACCGACTTAATTAGCTGATTATTAGCTGAATTGCTGTGTTATGTCTGTCATCGTTTAGGCCTATTTGAAGTTTTGGACGGAACTTGGCTCAGTGATTTGGAACTAATTACGAGATAACCGTCGCTACTCTATCGATTCTGACAGTTGATATCCGTAGTTATTAATGTAGTGAACGATTAATCAAAGATATGACGTATTCAGTACTTAGTGTGATTGACTTTATGATTGAAGGTTACGCCCTAGAGTCTTTTTACTGCATTGTAATTGGTTAGAGTTTTGAAAATGAATAAAGAGAGTTTTGAGTTGGTCTTGACGAGTACACCACGATAGACGCAGTAGAGAGAGTCCAGTCCTGGAGAGCCTTGGGGCGAGTGTTGATGCAGTCTAAAAAAGTCTTGGGTCAGCCTTGCGATAGTCTTGGGGACTTTTCCCCAGGGCGCTGTGTCTTATAGAGTGCTCGATTGATCGACTAAGACGAGAGTTGAAACGTATTTCGTTGTGTGTGTCTTATTTGACTGTAAAGTATAAGTGACTTTCCCGATCCCGTACCTCAAGGGGACGCGATAGAGAGACGAGACGAGATTTCCCCCTGGCAAGTGTGGAGAACCCAGAGAGAAGAGAATATTCCCCGTGATAATACAAACACACACCACAGCCGACACACAAGTTCATGAGTTCCCTTATTTAATATTTAGACAGTGCTGGATACCCATTATGGAGCGCTAATATGAGCAGGACTAGTGAAAACATCAAAACACCATGTTTATGTTTTAACATGAACATTATCCACGTTTTGGTTATTTAGTTGTCGAGGGCATTTCAAACTTAAATAAATCCCGGAATTTATGTCTATGTGATTTTTACACTATGTACATGTAGGTGGTTCTAAAGAGAAGGACGTTTAAGTTTGTACATTTATTTTATTCTCAAAGAATGATGCTAGAAGTGTTAAATTCTTTCTGTAACATCTATATACACATAATAAAATACATTATATATACAATGCAAGACATCTTTTTGTAGATAAACAAGACTCAAACCCTTACACAATAATGTGACATACTAACCACATACTCATAGAGTTGTACTTACTCTGACGATTTCTATATTGCCAGTTCTCACTGCTTGATGGAACAATTTATCGTCACTGCCTGGAATTGTTACCGAAGCCTCAGCACCGTGCGACAATAGTAGTTCTACTGCTTTCACGCTTTGTCTTTCTACAGCACATTGTAGAGCAGTACGCCCAGCTCTGTCGCATAAATTTATTTCTGAAATGAAACACAATCAAATATAACTGACTATGCCTAACGAGATCGGCATGGGAAATATGTGTTACAGTTTAGTCTGGTTCGTTTTAGTCAGTACAATCGAGCCTGGTCATCTTTAGTTCAGTTTAATTCAGTATACTCCATTTAGTTCAATCCAGTTTAGTCCAATTAACCCCAGTTATCTTGAGTTTAGTTAGGTCCAATCAAAGCTCAGTTCAACCAATCTAGTTCATTAAGGTTAGTATAACAATCAGTGATGAAGAATTGGAAGCACATTATTTTACATATCGTTATTGGATTTGTCACTGTACTGTATTGGTGAGATTGTCACTGTATGGGGCTGTCACTATATAATTCAATATGAGCCAATGCCCTGAAATTATATACTTACGCAAGTTTTCATTCTTTTCTAGTACTGCTTCTAAGACAGTAATGTGGCGATCGCAGGCTAGATCATGGAGTGATCGCTGAGTAGACTGTTCATCATCACCTTCCTGTTTCAATAAAAAAATAAATCATTAAACCAATTATAGTGGAAAAAGTAGCCCTTAAATTATTGTTAAGTGAATTAAAGTAAAGTTGCAGATGAATAACTGATATATCTTATTATGTCAACGGAATTTGTTACGATAGCTATGTTATGAACATAATAGTCATTTGTATACACATAATGATCTACACAACAAAATGGAGTAAAAATATTGTATTGTTGAGCATACATAACTTACATCATCCACGTCGATGACAGGCGCTGCTAGGTTATCTTCAGAATTGCTTGATGCGAACTGTGCATCGTCTAATTTAATATTTGCCACCACAAAGGATATAGCTTTCTTCCATCTTGCCTTGGCTAGTTCACTTCGGTCTCCTGCGTAACCAAATTAGAATTGCACATATAAACTTATATTTTACTTTAAATATGGTTATTATTATAAATTAATTAATGGTTATTAGTATTGTTAATATCATCATCAATACATTTCGTTGTAGCAAGTATAATTGGTGTACCTTGCATAGTTTACAACTCAATAACCACCGCGATTCAAACTTTATAAAACGAATTTGTACAAGATAGTAATTATGATGGTTACGATGCATTCCTTCTTTGAGGTATGTTGAAATTATTCCACTAACCACCATAAATGCTTTGGATTTTGTTTTGTACGATAAATATTTCCTAACAGAAACCAGAAATTGAATTTAAAAGTAAGTCTTATATTCAAGTAAAGTATTCTTGAGTGATTACAACAATGGAAGTTATGTTTTATTGCAATAGGTGATTTTAGATTTGGGGACCTTCTGTTATAGTAAAATTGTATACAAATTTATATCTGGAGATTAGGTATTCGTATACATGTTTCATTTGGAGAATAAGTATTCGTATACATTTTTTTAATCTGGGGAATACGTAATTCTTATACATTATTTAGAAAATTATATTACAGATGTCACCTGCATATATTGTACACGTTGACTGTCGCGTTGGTGATTCGATTTGCGCATGTCCAACTAGTCATTGTGAGTGCACAGTCACTGCACACTATTTTAAGCATGTTTTAACAGTGTGGTGTAGCATAACGGGCGGTACGTTAGTTTGCAGTGGCGACTGCAATTTTGATGAAATTGCATCATAACGTATTTCAATTATCACTTGTAAAGAGAAAAGTGGGAATCCGATACAAGATATCTCCGATGCTGGAATCCAGACACCGATCGACATACATAACATATTTCCAATGCCAATGTCGTGAACGTCAGTATGTTGACATTTTATGACCCATAGATATATACTTGCATGCTGCCCGCCTAGACATATCCATGTCAACATGTAAATGTATTTGTGCAATTGGAGGCTGTTTTGGTATATTTATATAAGAATTCTTTAATAAAGTGCGTGCACACTTCGATATCAATTTTCTTCTTACATAATTGTAACACATTCTATATATAATGCCTTCCAGCCATGTGAAATACTAGATATATATGCTAGTTATACTCCTGAAATACAAGTATGAGACAGTAGTAGTCCCAGTAGTATCCATCCTAATATAAGAGATATAATGCATTATATTCTTATGAGGTATTAACTTGAAGGATATGTACAAAAATGACTTTGAACTAAATTCAAAAATAGAAACATGAAGAAAATGATAATTAGCAGTAACAATGCAAATGTACAAATCAACTATTGATTAATTAGCAACTAAATACAAAACAATATAGAATTCAAGTAGCAACCTTCGGAATTGTTTTCCAAAACATTTGATCAAAACTAAATAGGATAGAAACATGATGAAATCGTCTCCATTTTTTATCGCAATGCGTAATAGTTCCACTGTGAATAAGATAACATTATATTTAAAAGAAACTTATGTTACGTTTCAGAGGCTCGTGATATTAAGTCAACTCTTAAGTGGTCCTGCAGAGTATGGAGTTATTGAAATAATTGGGATGTCACGACACCTACTGTTCTCAGTGGACCAAATTGAACGTTCATTGAACCTCAATTGAATCTCAGTGAACGTGAATATTGTTTTCTATCTGCCATTATGATAGTTGTAATATGTTTACGTGTATATTGTGTTCTAGTTGTAATAAATTGGCCTTGTATGCAACATGAAATAATTTCGTATTCACCACGTTAGACATTTTTTGTGTTCGAAACGAATAGGATGGATCATACTTTCCCGCTATATGCCGATAGTTTTATGCATTTATGTTTTAATACGCATTTGAAGATTTCGTCGTGTCTTACTTTAGACATGGCAACATAGATAATTTGTTTTCTCTGTTAAAATCACAAATTAGTGTTTACCTTTTCACTATTAAGACGCGTAAAGACCGCTGATAGGACTAGCCTACAATTTAGTTAAAATGTTTTCAATGCGTTGCCATAACATAAAGTAATATTTCTAAAAATTAGTTAATAATAAATGGTCGACGATTTGAAATACTTGGTAGTGGAAAATTGAAAGCTAGACAACGAAAGAAGAAAAAATGCACACCAGGTTTTGCAGAAAAATGTTGACACATTCAAGAAAAAAATGTAGGTAATAATATATTATATTATATGTTGTTTGTTGCAGCAGCAATGTGTTGCATTTGATATTAGCAATACAGAGCTGTTCAAATTATCGCTATGACAAATCAGCACAGCGTGATTGTTCAACGAATTATCCATGCATGACTGTTCACACGTGGAAGGTCAACGATGGTGACGTTGATGGCATGATTTAAGATTTCGTTAACAGTTAATGTCAATACATTACCAATTTGAAAATTGTTGACAAAAAACTGTTTAAGGAAACGATATATTTTTCTTTCCCGCTAACACATTTCGCTAATACATCAAAACAATATGAATTATGCCTAGATGCTACCCAAACCGGTGTTTAAATATTTAAACAACTTTAAGTGTTTATGCGTATATTTGTGTCTTTCTGGCTGCTTAGACGCTGTGACGTGTTTGTGATTGTTTATCAATAGTTTTTCTTCTAAATGTGCATCTGTGCTGGCAAAATGATCTTTTCAAGACATATTTCATAAGTCCTATAGTATCAGTGGTCCGACAATTTCTTTGTTGACTTTGTTACAATAAATATTTCGTGTTTAGTAGCTAATACGTTTTATCAACTTTGAATAATGTGAGTTTCTGACAAGATCCTGGCGACTTGCACTATATTGCCCACAATTTCGATTACAATTACACTGACGACTCGGGCGACAGTGAGAGAGATAACTATTGTTCATTTGGTTTAGGACACCGACATCTCGTTCCCATATTTGCTTTTAGTGATTAACTTGAAGGTGAAACATTGCCATTATGAAGAATGAATCTTTCTGGCGACATATAGTATCTACTCTGTTTACTTTCCATCGACATAGTTATAGTGTCAATTGTGATTAGTTACATAATATATTTGAATTACGTATACTGCATCTAACATGTAACTGGACAATAGTTATCATTATTTTTCAAACTCACCGTTTTGTTTTGATGAATCGGATTCTTTGTTTTCTATTGGTTGTAGAGGTACGTTCTCTTGTTGTTTTCCCGAACCATTCGCCATGCCCGCCATGTCGCGTACACCAGTTGCAACCAACTCGAAAAGTTGTGATATCAATATTAGCAGAGGGCGATTCTATTTACGTATTTATCTGTAGGGGTGACAAGATGTCCTAATATACTCCCCTCCAACGCGCGCTGAGAGCTGATGACGTGAATGGTATCTGGAATGTGTGTACTGCGATTGGTGAATACTAGTATATACAAAATAAGCCAGTATTTGTTGCATCTGAACGGTAATAAGGCATGCGACGTAACCGCAAATGTGAGCTTACAATTTACAACAATAAAGTACATTTACGTCACGTGTGAAAAAAATCGTGTTCTCTACACAATTCATATATTTGTATATATTCCATAAAAATACATTTACGTGATTTGGCTTCGAGATAACTATGTGTCCTACACTGAACGTATACGTTTCCTGCGTAGAACATATATGTACCCTGGACTGTACGTTATTACGCATACCCTATAATACCTCATACGACGCTTATAACAGCTGCATGCATATTACGCGTTCTCTGCATTGTGCATACTCCGATTATTACGCAAATCAGTAATTGCATCAGGGACACACTTGTCTATTTAGGTAACTTGTATTTTTCGTATTTGTGTAAGTTTGATAGTTATTAAACGTTAGTTTGACAGTGAACTACTTTTTTTATTTTTAGAAGTTTATATACGTCACGTGTCGATGACCTTTGTTTGCAATGCATTCCACTTGACATGCACATGTTTTAACACAGCACGTAGTCGAGTAAAAAACTTTCACGATATGATACTAGATGTATTCAGACAAGCTGACCTTGCAGTATGTAGTACTCGTTGCAGTATGTGGTAATCGGCAAGGTCATCTGATTCTTTGATTCTTTTTTTGGTAAAATAGTTAAATGTTTTGTTTAATCACCGTAGATGGAATAATATTCATAACTTTATCATTCAACATGTTCCTGATGTAGTACTGCATTGTAAACACTTACACAATAGAACACAATACAGACAACTACATTGCAGGTAACTAAAAAGGAAATACGACTACTACAGCAACATAAACATTTTTTAAACAAACAAATATAAAATATAATACAATAATATGTGTGTATATGTTATGCACAATTCATTTGTGTATTGTATTCTCATTACATTTATATATTTAGTTATTTCCGGCTGAATTTAATTCCAATTAACTACCATTTTATGTTTGGGAAATGTTTTAAAATTTATATCGATTGCTCTTGTATGTTGGGACCTCTACTACACTTTGGGCGACAATCCGATAATGCAACTATCGCTTACGGGAATTTCATTTACTTTATAGAACTTTCTAGTACATAGGTGACATTTCCAAGCAAATCTACCAGCTTTTCAATCGCTTTTTCCAACTTGTACGCTGTTTTTTAACAGTTATAGTCAGCTCGAATAATTTCACTATAGTTTTAATGTTCATGCTATGCTATGTGTAAATTATTTTATCATTCTATGTCTACGTTGTTTCACCATTATTATGTTAATATTTCATCGTTATTATATCTTGTTTACGTTGTTTCAACGTTATGGCCTTTTTTTAACAGTGTTATGCCATCTTTATTTTATTTTGACAATATGTGATTATTTTAGAATAGTTGTCTTCTGCTGGACACTTCATCATACCAAGTGCCCTTAATATTTTGCAGACCTCAAATCCCTTTACCAATTTTGGAAAACCATCAATACTTCACCATCCTCTGTCACCACTATGATTGACATGCGTATTTTTTCTCACCCAATCTAGCCTTCGTCATTACTCTTTTATTATACTAGAACTTGGCTTCCATGGTCCGCGTGCCAGGTCTCCATGAAAATCCTGAGTCAAAATAAAATACTCCAAAATCAAGTTGTGTCAGTTTGTTGACTGCTGGGGAGAGAGGTCATCAAGAAAAAAAAAACACAAAATAAAATAGTATGTGACTTTATAGCTGACTAGAGTCACTGTCGCATTTTTGGTGGCGGTATTTTTATGATTGGTTAAATAGCACCTTGTGGAGTAGTAATGTGATGTGATTGGCTGAAAAGTAGCTATCTCTGGGTCCGTACATTGAGACGAGAAAGCTAGGCTGGTCACTTGCCAGGGGACCAGCGACGAGTGAACACAATAAATATTGTGTGCGGACAGTAGTAGTTTGACCTCACTGTGATGACGCATGCGATGTGAAATACGAAAAAAAGGGCACGAGGCATGCGCACACAATATGTAATAACTTTAACGAGGTTATGACGTAGACAATATTATTATTAAACGCCAGAATCACGTATATTCGGTTTTGACCCCCACTCTGTCTGTTGTGGTTATTTGAAGACTGTATTCTTTCCATTATACTAAACTAGTCATCAAATTTAACATTTGTCTCCGTTTTTACACTGTTCACCTCCGTCCCCAGTGGCTGCTCCTGGCCCAATGCTGTAAACGCCGGGGTTCGGATTGGAACTTGCTGTAGGGTCTAATTTTCTCTAGTTCACGACTACTAGTAACCGTGTCTAGTTCAAGTAATGTACGGCGAATGTACGCACGTGACGAGCGGATTAGCAAGGTTAATACAGAAGAGAAACAGCTGTTTACGTCGCACTAGTTGTTACTGGGAGAGACCACGCACATTGACCGTCCAGTGTCGTGTATGTGTACTATTGTAATTCGTATATATGTATTTGTAAGTTAACGCATAAGCAGTTATTAGTTACCTAGGCGTGGCCGGTCGAGTGATTATTTAGGGTGTAAGGATTAATTTTGTTTGTAACGTGGAAAGGAGTTAGTACTGATAATTAATGGTTAATCTGGCAATTATTCCTAAAGCCAGCCTGCAGAGTATGGGGAGTAAGGTTGTATTCAAACGAACAATATGCATATTGAATCCATAATTCAGAAATATAACCGTTATGTACGTTAGTTTTGTTTTCTTGCTCTATGTATATATATATATGATATAATGTACCACGTGTCCTTATTGTGTGTGAGTGGTCAAACCTGTCTTTTGTGTATGAACAATAATAATAACACCGCGAACCTGTGACAGTCACAATCGAAAATGTTATGACCCCTAATTGTATTCGTTTGTACACTTATTGTGTTATAAAATGTTAACTTCGTCTCCATGACAATGACGCGCCAGTGAACTTGCATGAATAGTTGCAGAATATTAAATACCAGTGACGAGTTTTGTCTGCACATATGTAGGACGATTCGTGACTCGTGAATACAGAACAATGTTACATTGGTGTCTTCCAAATGTCAAATTGCGACCCGTGTCTATGATAAACCTTTCACGTGGTGACGACCTCGGTGAACATCCCCTGACCCCTGACATACTAGGTCATGGCTATGAATACATACTTGTCGATTCTTGAATTTATCATCCAAGTACATTATCTACAGTGAAGCGTCAACAGTTCTCATCAAATGGGAATTAATTATGTCTATAACATACATAGACATTTAACTTTTTTTTCTAAATTCAATATTACGTTGTTCGCTGTAAAGAGTCTTTTGTTCAAATAACTTAGTCATGTACACGCAATGCATTATGGTAAAATAATGATGTAATGGTGGGATAATAGTTAAATAGTGACGTCACATACAATTGTGAAATACCTTAAACATAACCAAATATTGATGAAATAACATAACAATGACGTAACAATGGTGAAAATGATATATAAATAATGAAACATTATTAAATAATATCAGTTGATTCATGTTTTCAATTTGATACGTCAGTTGACTGGACCGAGGGATCTTAATATGTGTATTCGTGTGAATATTGTAGAATCTCTTCACAATGCGCTGTATTCATGTTTTACCACTATTTTGTAACGTATGCATGAGATTACGTAACTATATATGTATGTCAGTATGATTGTAGGTTTGGTAAATAAGTGGTATTCCTGGTACGTCCTGTCAACCATAACCATACGACTTGGTTTTTATAACGTAATGAAGAAATCATTTTTTAATAAAATCGCGATATTTCATTGTATCATCCTACCTCATATAGTGTAAAGCCATTATATCTAATGTAAATAATTAAATATTATAATATAAATAAGTGTACACATATTACAATTAAATTGATGAACTACAATTCGTATTTACTAACACAATGAACCAGCAAATCTCGCCTAGTTTTGTCTCTAACAGTACACAGGTGTTGGCTGAAGTGTCGGAGTTGGAGGCGGAGCCGAGGCGCCCAAACATGGTTTCTGTTTCATTTGACTGCGAAAAAAACCACACGCATGGTGTTCTGATGTGACTCGATCGATGATGTTCTTTCCAAATTCCATCTGCACGCCTTCTTTCAGATCTACAAAATTCAACAAACAGCTCAGTAATTAATTAATCGATGAAATCGACACGGCACACAACATTGCACTGTATAAGATATATAGTTTATATGAAAGGTATACACTCGTAGCTTGCGCTGCACTTACACTCGTAGCTTGCGCTGCACATACACTCGTAGCTTGCGCTGCACATACACTCGTAGCTTGCGCTGCACATACACTCGTAGCTCGCGCTGCACATACACTCGTAGCTTGTGCTGCACTTACACTCGTAGCTTGCGCTGCACATACACTCGTAGCTTGCGCTGCACTTACACTCGTAGCTTGCGTTGCACTTACACTCGTAGCTTGCGCTGCACTTACACTCGTAGCTTGCGCTGCACATACACTCGTAGCTTGCGCTGCACATACACTCGTAGCTTGCGCTGCACATACACTCGTAGCTCGCGCTGCACATACACTCGTAGCTTGCGCTGCACTTACACTCGTAGCTTGCGCTGCACTTACACTCGTAGCTTGCGCTGCACATACACTCGTAGCTTGCGCTGCACTTACACTCGTAGCTTGCGCTGCACATACACTCGTAGCTTGCGCTGCACTTACACTCGTAGCTTGCGCTGCACATACACTCGTAGCTTGCGCTGCACTTACACTCGGCCCACATAAACTAACATAATATTTTATTAACAATAAAAATAAATTACCGTATTTATTATCG